CAGAACAGCAAAGGTGGGGGAATGGCAAGCACATTTTTCTGTCTTGAGTGCTGACTCCCTTTAAGTCATTTTGATAAAAAGTAGATTTATGTAATGCTTAGAAGCATGTCAAAATAGGAGAAGTTTACCTCACTGCCATAAGTAAGGCAGTAAATTACTAAACATTTCTGATCAAGAACACTTAATTTCAACATTTTTCTGGCTCAGATCTTCAGGTTTTATGAGTTAAACTTGACTTTTTGTTGTCTTTTTACATTGTACTTTTACAATGTACCTCTTTGCATTTATATGAAATGAGTATTTGCAAAGCTAGGCACTAAAATTTGGGTTGGCAGGCGTAACCATGTCAGATCCCACTAGCTACCCTATGTATCCTGTGAGAAGGGAACATGGGCATAGCAATCTGCTGTTGAAGAAACTGATATTTTAGATTTGCTATCCAATGCATCACCTTCCCCCTGCCCTCATAAATGTAACTGACAATAATGGCATGTGTGGGTTAAGACATGTTGAATGCAGGGACTCCCTGGTGGCGCAAAGGGTTAAGTCTCAGCACTATGATGCTATCGGCAGCCACTGCGGCACAAGTTCAATCCTTGGCCAGGGAGCTGACACATATAGCATAGCAGACAGCTCCTATCTTGCCCACTGCTCCCCTCAGCAGTGTATTTCAGTCAGTCTGCCTGTTCTGCTCCCCATTCTGACTCTGGTGAATCCTCTCACTACCCCCTTACCTCTGGCTACACCCCAGATCTTGTATGCATAAATAAATAAAATAAATCTAAATTTTTTTAAAAAAAAGACATTAAATGCATGAGCTTCTTGAATGAATTTTAGCAGCTGAGTGTGGGGGCGGGGTGGATGGGTGGGTGTGTGTGGGTGTGTGTGAGATTTTGTTTCCATAAACTAGAGGATCAGAAAATCTGGAATGAATCCCATAATCTCTCTAAAGGTCAGTTTCCTCAGCAGTGAAGTAAGCTTATTGACACTTGGCTTAGAGACAATATATGTGCGGAAGTATTTGCAAACTGCACAGTGCTGTATAAATGTGCCTTTTAAATCACATGGTTGTCAGGGAATCAGTCGACATAGACATCGACTTGTGAGGAATCCACCATTTTCTATTTAAAGAGGCTTCATTTAATTAATTCCAAAGTGACTTCACTTCAGTGTTCAAGGCACTGTGCCAGGCACTAAGAAGCATGCAAAAATGAATCATACTCAGATCCTGCCCTCAAGGAACTTAGGGTAAAAGGAGGCAGATACGCCATGAAAAAGCCCTAGTTGGTTTTTAAATTTAGCTTCAATGACTACATAATTGAACGTAACATGACATTTAGAAAGTGATTTAGCAGTCCCTCTTACATATTTAAATAATAATGTAAATGTTAATTAACAAGCAGCAGTCTGTTAATAGACTAATTAACATGTATGCCATTAGTTGAGAATAATGAGAAATGGACATGAAAGCAAAGATATCCTGACTCCAGATAGGCAATTTGGGTTGTCAGTGCTGGTGCCAGCCCTTGTCCAGTGATCAGTCTTCATTAAGCTCCCAAAGCAAAATGGACCTGAAAACAATTGATTCTGTCTGGCCCGAAAGCCAGTTCCTTCATTTGTTTTGATTCAAGTCTTTCTTGGCCTGAATCCATGAGTGAAAGGCTCTCTTGTTTAACATTTTAGTTGCAGTACTGTTAACAAATCTCTGACTTTACTCTAAAAGCAGATACAAAGTTGAAACTTTTCCAGGAGACTGGGGAATCCTAATATTTATGTGAAGGAAATATGCAGTCAAAATCTTGATAATTATGTAACTGTCAATTTAGTGAAAATAAAGTATTTAATTAATAAAATTGTCAGCCATTTGAAAATCGCAACAGATTCTTACTCTTGTAAAAAATCTAACTGAAAGCACATTCTCAGAGTTATGAATTCAAAAATGCTCCTTGAATAAGAATATTAGAGGTCATCTGAAAATATAGGCCATGATTTGATCTCTTCTACCAGTAGAAGAAAGCTGCTTTAAAGATCAGAAATCTCACAATTTCTTTTCCAGGAAAAACTAGGAGAAGCTGTTCATTGATTGGTCTTAAGTTGGCCTCTCCTTCAGGCATAAATAGGTTTGAATCAGTATGCGAGATCTTAAATATGGTCCTTAGGAAAAAGAGGTTATTGTGAACTCAGGAAAGAGGAATGTTTCATTTAGGGCTCTGAATAATGATTGAAAACTCTAAGGGAGATCTGTGGGTTCTAACAGTTAGCTAATAAGTTCCACACTCGAGTGATGGGAAGAGAAATATAAAAACTGGGTAAGTTACACTAGCCAGTGTACCTTCAAGTGAAGATGCTCATGGCAGGCACCTGGTTTCAATGAGGGAAGACTTGCAACCTCCCACCCGCTTCCTCAGAAAGTTCCTACACAGAGTCCACCAGGCTGGCCCCAACCCTCCAACCTTCGGACTCTCTAAATGTCTCAGGAGAAGGAGAACACATACAATTACAGATGATTGTGGTCACCTGTAATACCTCAGTCACCCACTGCCTCTCAGTAAGTAGTACCACCACATTGCTACCGGTCACTGCATTCAGTCAATTCCTAGAACAGAATTTATTTGAGCCTCTAGTCTCTGCCATCTGCCAAGCACCAAGAATCTTCTCAAACCTCCAACCTCTTATTTATGCCTCTACAAAGTGCAGTGAGCTTCTCCAGGCCTATAAGGAAACACCTTCCTTGGTCAGGCCAGTGATAGTGCCTTTTGCTGGTAGCCTCTGGGCCCCCCAGTGGCTTCTGGCCTCACATTCACAGGCAGAACCCAAGCCACTCGCTGGTCTCGACCAAACCCTATATATTTTCAGGTGTTTCAAGTTTTCACCTTGAAATAGCCAGTGATTACAACTCTCTCAGATTAGCTATAGAAATAAAAGGCAGGGTCAGGGATTCATTCCTGGATAGTGTGATATTTACTGTTGTGTGCCAACATACTCCAAAACTTAGTAGCCAAAAACAGTATTGATTACATTGTATCTTATGGGTTCTGTCAGTCAGGAATTTGGGCAGGGCTCAACTGGGAAATTGTTCTACTCCTGAGAAGACTGAGTCAGTCAATGGTAGGTAGCTGGCAGGTGGGCTGATCAAGAGTGTCCAAGATATGGGCCTCTCCGGTGGCTCAGCGGTTGAGCGCTGGGTTGCGAAGCTGCCCGCGGCCTCTGCGGCGCCAGTTCAATCCCTGGCTGCTCCCCGGCCACAGGAGGAGGGTCCCACACGGCCCTTCTGCCTGCTCTGCTCCCCACTCTGGCTCTGGTGAATTCTCTTACCCTCCCGTGCTTCTGACTGTACCCAGTGCATGTATAAACAAAACAAACAAATAAATAAATAAAGCATGCCTCTATAAAAAAAAGGGATTTTTTTTTTTTAAAAAGTGTCCAAGATGATTTTACTTATATGACTGCACCTGGGTGATGAGGTTGAAGCGTGAGCCTCAGCTGGGACTGTCTACTGGGACACCTACACATGGTTTCTGCAGTATCACAGAAACTTAGATACAGGCAGAGAAAGCACTCCAAGAGGATCAGGGGGAAGTGGCATGCCTCGTAAATCATGCAGCACTTATTGCCTCTGCAGCTTTCTATTGGTTACAAGCAAGTCATAGGTCATCCCAGGTCCTAGGGGAGGGAAATAAGCTCTATTTCTTTATAGGAAGTCATTGTAGAAGAGATTCAGAAATATTATTACAATCATTTTTGGAAAATACAATCTTCCATTTTTGCTATTAACCATTATCTCACTTATTCAATGCTCAGCTGATTCCTAATACTTGTATCTTATCTGGGAGTCAGTTTCTGTGTTTATTATAAAACCAATCTTATTTCCCCTTTGTAGAGGCAGGAATGGGCACGGAGCAGGTTTTCTGGCCCAGCAGACCGGGTAAAGGAGGAGTCCTGGAGCCCTCAGTGGCTTCTCATGTTTTTATTGGGATTACCAGGTACACAGCAGGCAGGGGTGCTGGGGGGCCAGAAGGCTGGCAGGCCTCCCAGCCCCCAGCAAGTCTTCACTCTATCTGGGCTTTCTGGCATTCTCTTGGGTTCTCTCTGCTTCTTTCTCGGCTTCTGCTGGTGTCCCCGTGACGCCGCCCTTAAAAAGCACGGTCTTAGCCCAGGTGAATCCCATCTACCTATGCCCACGCCCTACTCCAGGTGCCCGCCATCAGGCATGCATTCAGGGCCGCAGGGCTCCGTCATCTAGGTAAAAAGTTTTACCTTCTCCTATACCCTTTCTTCCTCTTCTCCCTAGTCACAGTGTTTACTTCAACAAAAAATCCCAAACACCACCTAAAAGACAAGGGAAAGTAAATAGGTGCTTAGAGGGAACCAGCAAGAGGATATGGGTCAAAGAGGAAGGAATGATCATGAGGAGAAGAATTAAGGGAGGTTTTTTCCTTCGCCTTTTACCAAAACACCTGTGCCCATACCTCATTCTCTCCTCCCTTCACCTGTTCCCTCTAGTAACCATTATATTCTTTGGTTTGGTGGAGAGTGAAAAAGAAATTATAACCATCGAGTGTCAGAGAACATGAAATATAGAGGGAAAAAAATGGGAAAAACTGGGTAATCTTCAGTGTAGTTTTAACATTACCATACTGTTTTGCAACCATCTCAGGTCCAGTAGGTTCAGGTAGCTTAAAAGAGAAACTTGGAGTCCTTGATGTAATCCCCAAAGGTTTTCTGATAGTACGCAGGGGAACAAGCCAGCAGGAAGACAGCAACTCCCCCCACCTCCCCACCTCCCCACCTCCCCGCAAATCTCTATCTGTTCTTTCCTCTGGGCTTCCTCCTGCATTAGTACAATTAAGGCTGCAGGTGATAGCTACAAAAGCCAGCAGCGTAAAAGCCTGACCAAAGTTCCCGGTCTCCTTCTCCAACTTCTTCTCCCTGCTTAGTTCCACCCTCCCTTGGGTGGGGCAGGGAACATGGAATCTCCCCTTTTCTTGGGGACACCCTGTTACACTGTGACAGCACAGAACTTCTCACCATTTCTTAGCATGACACTCCCTATCACACTCACACACTGACAGGTGTTCTCTCCACCTGAAGAGTCCTATCACCCTCTTCTATATCAGGTAAGTTCCTAGTCATCAGTTCAAATGTCAACTTCTGTGAACCCAGATGAAATGTCACTTCTGTGAAGCTAGATGCAGTAGGTTGTTAACCTTCTGTCTCCTAATCTGTTCTATTATATCATCAAGTGCATTTTGTGCTTATTTTACAGATTAGACCAAGCTTCTTGAAGGAGCAGACCACAATTTATTGTCTTTGAATCACCAGTATCTCTCATATGAATAGGTAGTGAGTAAATGTTTCACAAAGGCAGGAAGAAAAGAAAGAATTTCGCTAACTTACGTTGCTCAGTGTTTTTGATCCAGAAATGCTGACACGCTGAATGAACAGGGAGTTGGTATTACTCGTTGAGGAACAGTGGTTTGTAAGTCTGTTAAAAGTTTGTAGAAGAAGCTGGGTTTCTGTTGACAAAAGATTACCAAAGTAATCTGGGAAATCAACCAGTGAAAACCAGTAGATCCCAGAGTAATAGAGCTCTATTCAGAAACTTTGCGTCTGATGAACTTTGCACCAAAGGTATCATGAATAACCCAGTTGCTGTATCTCTCCCACCCCAGTAACTATTAAAAGTGGCAGCTTCTTGCTTAGTTTCAGAGCCACAGAGCAGCCCTATGTAGTCACCCAGATTCATCAGTAACATTCTCTTTGCTGACAGGCTAATATTCCAGGCTAGTTTAGGTCATTGTCAACTCCTGGGGCCTTCTTTTAAAACCTAAGGTCATACATTCATAAAATCCTTCCTGACATAGCTGAGAATGCAATTTACACATACACTAAGCCCTAAAGAATGCTCTGTGGGTAGAGCTCAGCTTACTTGGGAGAACTTTGTTTGTACAGGGTTTCAGAGTCTGGGAAGAGGGATGTTTTCCTTTTCGCCAAGAACCCTGCCATAAACTGCTTTATATCAAGGTATTGTTTGGGAGTTGGTGGTGGTAGTAGTGTTTTCAACCATGGCTAGAGCAGAAAGTCTGATGCTGCCTGTGCCTTCTTAATCCTCAGATTAATGTAAATGTGCTCAAGGAAAACCTTAAACTATACTTTTTTATTATACCCTTGGGTTGTTTGCTAGACTTAAAACACAACAGTCTTAAAGGTGTAACACTTTGCATCCCTTTCAGTAAAGTATTTTGATTTAATTTTATCTATTAGCACCTACCTCGCCTCTCTCACTTTATTTTAGCTTCAGATATTTTCACCTTTAAGGTGACACATATGTGAAAATTATTATTTTCAAGTTTAGGTATTATGGATAATTCATCCAACACAAAATCATTCTCCCTTATGTTTGTCTTCTCCATTCAAGGATCACTAAGGGCTGGAAGCAGGAGAGTTAGTGAGGAGGGGCAAAAGAAGAGTGGACTTGGGAGTGATTGTAGTTGGGTTGTTGGCTAAAGCTGCCACTTATCCATGCAACCAGAATTCTCTAGGCCTAAGCTTTCTTGAGATAAATCCTGAATACAAATTTGATATAGGTAAAATTGCAGAGGCCTTAGAAGATGCCCAATTTCTGACCTTTCTTCCTTGACAGGCTCATAGAGCTGGGGAGGACAAAAAGAAAGGAGAAACTTCAAACTGAAGATTAGGAAAACTGTCAGTTTTCCCGGGCATTTGAATACGTAAATATGTAGATAGGATCAAACTGAGGATAATTTAACATGCTATTTCCCAGTGACACATCTATTATATCAGGTATAATTTTATGAGTCTCTAGCTACATTTTCAGACATCATTATTTTAAAAAGCTATTTAACTCGAGCTTCTGTAGCATCATAGAAATTTCTATAATAGGGAAATGTCTGCAGTTTCCAGATTCAGCCCAAATGTCAGTGATGGAAAACATCTTTATATTTTCAAAATATTACTTAACCACTCCTTCAATGAGATAAGAATAAGTTCATTCCATCAAAATAAAATTCATATGACAAATATTTAGCTCTTGAATAGATTTAAACAGACTATTTTCTTCAATTGAAGCTTCATCAAAACACTCTCTAGTCTCCTAACTCCTTTATTCATCTTTGATTCCTGAAGCTTGTAAAACTTTTTTTTAAAGATTTATTCATTTATTTATACAAGAACTGGGGTACAGGCCAGAGGCATGGGAGGGTGAGAGAATTCATTAGACACAGAGTGGGGAGCAGAACAGGCAGATGGACTGAAGACACTGCTGAGGGGAACAGTGGGCGAGGCAGGAGAGGTCAGCCACGCCATGTGGGTTTCTCCCTGGCCGGCGGGGAATCGAACCGGTGCTGCAGATGCTGTGGACAGCTTCGCAGCACAAGAAAACATGCAGTCACTTGACTGAATAGCAGAGTCAAGCTTACAGAAAGCAAGAGAAAAGATAACCCTAGGTAATTGAAACAGAGACCAATTAGCTCTTTCCCACTTTCCACTAGATCTAAATCTAACAGAAGAGCTTGAGATGTGGGTGCATTCCCTAGACAGTAGTATTAGTATCATCCCTTGGGGTCTTCTCAGTCTTATAAACTCTCAGCCCTCCTTCCAGATCTACTGAATCTAGTACTCAGCAGTCCGTGTTGCTACAAGCCCTTCAGGTGATTCTGATGATAGTGAAGTCTGAGGACCATTAGCCTAGAATAGACTATGAAGAAAAGAAATTACCATTCAGAATGATATTGTTATAAAAATTTTATTCTGTGCTTGAACGCAATTAAAAAAAAAATAGTCTCTATGGCCCTTAGGTAAGTATACTTTCAGAATAAAGAGCTTTCTGAAAGCCGATACCATCACAGACTGAGAGTTTCTGGAAGATTCTCAAAAGCTCACTTTTCCTAGCCTATCATATTATATAGAAATGTCTTAACTGCCTAAGTTGCCTTATATTCTAAGAGTGTACTGTGGAACTAGTTTCATGAAACACTTCTGTTCAGAATGGGTTTGATGCCCAAATATTTTCAGGGTACCCTGTGCTCCACAACATGGAAAGGGCTTCCTTGTTGAGAAGTCTTAAAAGGGAACATGTCTGTTTTTGTGTAATCCAGACCTCCGCAGGCTTTCTCAAAGCTTTTCATATGTGAAAGTGTGTAGGGTAAATAATTATCAGACTTTTCTGCCCTTCCACCATCAGTGTTGATGATAGATCCCTGCGGTCCTGAGTGTGTGCCTGATGGCGGGCACCTGAAGTAGGGTGTGGGCATATATGTAGGTGCTTGAACACCTGGGATGAGCCTGCGCTTATAAGGGCACCAGCCTATGGGGCTGCCAGGAGAGCAGAGCAGAACGGAACCACAGAAAGGAAAAAGAAAGAGCAAGCGAGAGCAAAATGAAAGAGAAGCAGAAGAGAGAAAACAAGAGTGCCAGAGAGCCCAGAAAGAGTGAAGACTTTCTGGGGGCTGGGAGGCCTGCCACCCCCCCTCCCCCACCCTACCCCTACCCCCCATCCCCTGCCTGCTGTGTACCTGGTAAACTCAACAAAAGCCTGGAAAAGCCCCGGAGGGCTCCAGGGCTCCTCCTTTACCCATCTGCTCAGGTCATAGATATCCTGCCCTGTGCCCTTCCTGCCTCTACAAAGTGTAATTGTGAATTTCCAAAAGAAGATATTCCCCTTTGGAACCTAGTTGTTCTTTTAGTTTATGGTGTTTGTCAAACTTATTTGACCATGGGAATCTTTTTCCTATGGATTGTCCTTTGGGACCAGAATCCTGCAGACTCTATTTTGGGAAATGCTGAGCTGAATAATAGAGAATTCCCAGCTTAGTATTCTCCCTAGAAATCAACCGGTTGACTCCTTTAATTCTGAACACCTGACTTGCCTCAAGTTAGCTAATTATTCTGGAGCCACGGGTAACCTCTATTTTCTGCGGTTGCAGACCTTGTAGATACAAGAATCATTTTTAAACATCAAATTTTGTGGATAAGGACCTACCTCCTACATACATACCCTGGATAAGATGAGTAAAATACTTGATTCCTGTCTGTTAAGAAATGGCTGAACAATGGATAATACTACAAGTTTTGAAGATTCCAGCTCCATTATTTGCTACCAGTAAAACCAAAGAGTAAGTTACATAAACTCTACCACTTTCTTATGTGTAAAATGGGGATAATAATTGTACTACCTTTGGGAGCTAATAAGAGGGAAAAAATAATCTGTAATATGGTTAACAGTGTTTGCCATACTGTAAATGCTGATTAAATGTTAGCTATTGTTTTATTGATTGATTTTAAAAAATGCACAATAGGAAAAATGCACAAAAAAAACTACAATGAAGTCCAAAATGCTTTTAAAGAATTTGTATTTTATTAAATAAAAATAGACTCCACATGCATTTGGGGAAAAGCCATATTTTATATAGGTGCAAATCATAATTTATTCATTCTGTAGTGTTTGATGTACATACTAATTTCCAGATCTTTGCATTAATTTTGCAACATTTGGGATTTACCACCTGTGGGTCAGGAAGCAATGGTTTATGTCAACATATTTTTTCTTAAAATAGACTATTTTTCAGAACATTTACACAAAGAAAGAGTGAGTTCTCAGTTTTCTTTGTTCCTTATTCCTGTGTTTGAATTCCCTTGCAGTTAATTTTTTATGTGTCTCTTTGAGCATGTTCAAAACCTGTTTGCTTGGACAAATCCGCAGAATTGGACAACCAGTCAGTGTCTTCTCCATTGTAACATTTCATTCAGAGTAAAATCTCTTCCTAAAGAAACCACTTTATCAATCAATTAATACTATATGCCCAGCATTTGAGTGGATACCTTTTGATAGATTGAAGACACTTTAAACCTCTCCTGTCACTTCAAGGAGCTTGTGATGTAGCCCAGGAAGTAAATTTATAATTTGAGATAATCCATGTACCCTACTAATGGTACTGGTGGAAAATGCTGTTGACGTTCAGATAAGGGCAAAATCAATGCAGGAGATTTAGATAATAATCCAGGCTTTGAAACAAACTCACTATGGGACCGTGGGCTAGATCTTAAGTTCTCTAGATGTTAGTTTTCTTATCTGTTAAAGGAAAGACTGGATTAGCTTTCTGCCAGCTACTGGTGGAAGACCTTTGTCCCCCATGTAATTTTCTTTTTTCAAAAGATTTATTTATTTATGCAAACAAGAACTGGTGTATAGGCCAGAGGTGCAGGGGGTGCCCCCTATGTAGTTTTTACATAGAATGCTCCCACACTACCTGAGATTGGTACTATTTTTAGCATGTGACCAAGAGGCACCCAGGGAACCCCAAACTATTAAGAGGTACACACTCTCAAAGAGATCCAGCCATCTGCTGCACAAAGGCAAAGGAAGCATATTCTTAATGTGAAAGATCTTTGATAGAAATATTGTGCACAGAGAGAGAAGAATGTCCTCATAACAGTTTCCCAATACCCACCCCCGCCAAGTCACCCATCCTCTTGCGGGCAAGTGCCCAGCAAATGGGATCAGCCTAAATCAGGGCAGTTGAGGTCCAAAAACTTGCCATAAGTCTAAGGTACCTACAGGTGGGGAGCCACAAGAAAGGGGTCTGGGACAGGAGGGATGCAAAAATGCAGATCAAATTTGCTTTATTCCTTAGAAATTGCTTTTGATTTTTTTTAATTTAATTTAATTTTTTATGCTTTATCTCTACATTTAGTTAGATCTTCCATAAATTCTCTCAGCAATATTTTACATTTTTCAGTAGACAGGTATATATCTTTTGTTAAATTTATTCAAACAGGGCCTCCCCAGTGGCGCAGCGGTTAAGCGCTGGGTTGTGAACTGCCCGCAGCCTCTGCAGCCGGGCAAGGGTCCAACATGGCGTGCAGACCTCTCCTGCTGCCCACTGCTCCCCTCAGCAGTGTACTTCGGTCCTTCTGCCTGTTCTGCTCCCTGCTCTGGCTCTGGTGAATTCTCTCACCCTCCCGTGCTTCTGACTGTACCCAGTGCTTGTGTAAATAAATAAATAAATCTTTTTAAAAAATAAATTTATTCAAAGAAATCTGATACATCCTCCAGAGCCACAAACTGATCAGTTAAACTAATAAATTAATTCAGTAAAGTTACAGTATATAAAACCAACATACCAAACTCATTGAGAGGATATTTCATATTAAATGTTCTTATAATAATTGTAATTATAATAACAAAGATCATATACATGCAAAAAAATGCAGATCAAGATAATAGCTGCCATTGTCTCTGCCAAGGACCCTCTCCATATGTGTCTCACCCACATGTCTCTTCCAAATGTCTACATGTCTCTCCTCCATGTGTCTCATCCAAGCCTCCTTCCTAGCAGTACAAGGGTGCAAGTCAGGTGGCAGAAACAACAGAGTGCCCCCTATATTCCCTGTTATATAGGTCCACCTAGCCACTCAGTCCCACCCCTAGTTCTCTAGCTCCCCTATTCAGAAAGTCCAGTGCATAGCATACTGAAACTTGTAGCCCAAGGCAGCTGCAGGTAAGTGGGAGGCAGAGAAAACAGCACCCCTTCATTGCATTGTGATGGAGATGCATTGCATCTCCCCCTTTTATGGAGATGTATTCTATAGCACTATTAGTGCACTCCATTTTCCAGATAAGAACACTGATGTTCAACAAGGTTATGAACCTACTGCCATATAGTAAGAGGTTGTTTCAGTACTCCCAAGTTTTTCTCTTCTCTCTTCTTTTTTTAATCAGTACAAATTTCTCTTATGCTGGGGTGAGAAATGGTTTCAGCTGAACCATCTGAAATGAGCGAGGGCAGAGATCCAGTTACACTGTGGGTCTAATTCAATACCCCAGAGTGCATGGTAATGTATAGTGCAACTCCCTCTGTGAATCCCAGTAAGCCTTTAATGTGAGGTTATGTCTGTCCCCAAATACCAGCATTATCATGGAGCTCAACTGAACATGCAGTTAGTTTGTTGCTCATTCATTTATCTTTCCTTTAGGGAAAAAAACAAAAAAACAAACCCTGGTCATTTTTAATTGTCTGTTTTTTCTAAGCTCTCAATTTCTTAAATAAAGCTCTCCTTGCTATCATGTACATAGAAATATTGTTTTCTCCCCACTGCTTACAAATCATAATCCTGTAAATAATCACTAGTAAAATATCATGTTTGGACTTTTAACAAAAGAATGAATATATTGACTTTCGTTTACTTTGCTCCATTGAGAGTTCAAAACTATTCTATATGTGATTTTGTCTATCTCTAATCAGTGTTTGCTCCTGTCTTTGTGTGGTCTACTTGAATCTGACCATTTAGAGATGGAAGAGCCAATAAAGAGATCTTAAACTTTTGCTCAGTGCTTATTTTGTTTCAGGTACCAATCAAGGTGGATGTTTAATCTTCACAACCACCTCAGAAGTTTTGAACTACTGTTTATGCCATTTTGCAAATAAGGAAATTTACAAATAAGGAAAATGGAAATGCAAGCAATTTGTTCAAAGTACGTAGCCATTTAGGAGAGATGAGTTAAATTCAAAGAATTTGACATCATAACCTAAGGCCTGGGGCTCCCTGGTGGCAAGAGGGTTGTCTCAGCACTATGAAGCACTCTGCAGTCACTTCAGCACAAGTTGTACCCCCAGCCAAGTAGATAATCCACATAGCACAACATATCTCTCCTGTCTCACCTGCTGCTCCCCTCAGCAGTGTATTAAAGTCAATCTGCCTGTGTAGCTCCCCACTCTGTCTCTGGTGAATCCTCTCACCCTCTGTACCTCTGGCCTGTACCCCAGCTCTTGTATGCATAAATAAATAAATCTTTTTAAAAAAAAAAATAAACCTAAGGCCTTAGCCTTTAGGCTGTACTTGTCCTTCACCCAAAGGAAAAAAGTCAGATATGTTGGGGGACATGGAGAATCAGTTTCTCTTCTCCTTTTCCTTCTTCTTTGTTATTTTTTTTAGGTTGAGCTGGTTTAGATGGAGTTTACTTGAGCAATGGAAGAAGATGAATGATTTAGGCTAGGAGAAAATTAGCAGCAAGGGAAGGAAATTAAGAAAGGGAACATTTTGGATATATACTTACATCTCATGCACGCCCCTTTCCCGAATGGAGAGCTGTTTCCTGACCAAGTTTCCCAGTGAAAGAGATCATTCACAGCTAGGAAAAGCAGACCCCGCCACAGGCAGGATTGCACTGCCACTGCAATCCCAGTTAGTGAGAGTTGAAGAAATTAATAGCTTGCTGCCATTTCTAACGTAGTTCAATAATTGAAAGTCTAAAAATTGATCCTAATCTTTAAAAAAGCTAGAAGGGCTTCAGGAAATTACTGTCTATTCTTATCATGCTGCTGTGTTTTATTGTCATGATAAAATCACGTTTGCTATTTTCTGTTCCTCCACTAATAGCAAGGCTTTAAATTATGGAAGAAGAATGCTAAAGCTTCTGCTGTCCTGTCTTTCTCCTCTCTGTTTTGAGAGTTGGACTTTTTGAGCTTCCCTCTCTCTATCTTGGAAAGGCTCACTTTCTGTTGGAAGTCAGGTCCAAGTCCTGCTTTGTGCCTGCTAATATGAAGGGCAGAGTTGAGGCAGCTGAATGAAGCAGAGGAATGTTTGAGTGGCAAGGGAAGAAAGTTGTTGACTTTTCTTAAAATACTTTTTATAATATCTCATATAAGGCTAGGTTTTGTGGCTCTCCCAGTTCCCTGACCCCCACTGTTAAATACATGTGTAGAATTATGGTGTGTACCGAGGAAGTTAAAAAATGAACCCCACTGTTCCTATCTCCACAGGCATCTGTGAGGGTGTGACAGGGTGAATGGGCCCTTTGGGAATTCTAAGGGGAATCCTCTGGAGCCAAATTCCTCAACCCGGGCAAACTTCCATCAGCTGTGTAAATAGTGTGGCAATGTGTGGAGGCCACAGGCAGTTTCCTGATAGTCAGCTACTGTGCCCAGGTAGTTAAAAGGATTCATGTTCCATCCTGAGGCTTGCAGGATGTGAGTTGAGTCTTGTAGACCCTGATAAGTGGGTGGGTGGGTAGAAATTTCCTCTCCAATGTATGTATGTAAGGGAAGCGGCCTGATTAAGATAGGTAGGGCTGGCTGACCATACCTAAGAGAGGATTTCTGGGTGTCTGAGTAAA